TTCCTAACATATAACGGAACTTTTCTGCATACCGTTATACAAATGAAAAGCTAATTCGGTGAATTTATTTTCAGAAACGTAGTTTTGCTATGCAGTGGCTTAATTATGTGAGCACAAGTGTACATATGTACATCTAGGTCGGAAAATTTAGACCAATAAAAAAAGTCTTAAAAAAAACAAAAACATATTATTGGAAAGTTAAGTTAGATCGCGGTTGTACTAGAAAATATATTTATAATTAATTTTTTGGGGGTATTTTCTTAAATAAATAAAAATACGGTAAATTTCACTGAGCAATGCTTTATTAACACACCCACACAAATGCTTTATGATCCATTTTTTCTTGTAAACTAAAACAAGTTGCTTCACAAAAATTCTATATCTCATTAACTAATAATTATAATCCAACTAATAGAAATCATATAGATGGTAGTAGTAGTATTATTTATGTATGTATCAGCCACAGTGAAGCGTGGACGGGTTCTCTAGTTTTTGATAAAATATCAAGGAAGCAGGGAAGACAACAAAAACGTTTTGTTATTTCTTATTCACGTTGTTTGATATAAATAATTTTTAACTCGAATATTGTTGCTTATACGGCAAATATCTCATCATAATTTTGATCGGTAAGTTTGAATGATTATCAAAGGCTATAGTAATCCGATATAGGCGTTTGCATCAATAATGCAGGGTCGAGGGGGAGTAAAGGGCGTGTGCAGCAGTATCAGACCGGACGAGTAGACAAAAGAACATGATTGAATCGATGCAACACGACATATTGATCTTTTGTACATATACTTTATAAGGTCTCGGACGTTTCCTTCTGGGTATTACAAACATTTGTAAATTTGTGAGGTAGCAAACATAAATTACGTTTATTTCAAAGAAAAAACTTTATATTATAAAAAAAAAATGCTTGCCAATAACACAAATATATTTTTTATATTTCGGTCTTTCCGGACTACTCAGTGAAATGAAAAGAGAAGGCGTACTTTTGAAAGCATAWTTGTTATAAAAGCATACATACATATGTATTACATTTTTGATGGCATTGTAAACCATTTTTCTTGAACATTTTACTATTTGAGCAATTTTAACTTGATTTGTACCGTTTTTGTAAAGATCCCTAATAATTTTTCTTTTTTCAATCGAACAGTATTTCCCACTAGCCATTTTATTAAAATTTGTAATATTACTAAAACTGTTGAATACAATTTCACAACTGAGATTAATTTTTTGTTGGACCAAACATAACTAATGACCGAAACTATAAGTACGCTAAATCATTGACCAACGAATTTATGACGAAATTTTACAAAAACAAATTAACGGTATCTGAGGGGAAATGGTAACGGTTGTTTTCCATGCATTTAAAGAGGCGGCAGAAGCAGTAATATTTGTAATTATGAATGCAAGAGCGCTAAATCTCTGTCCATAGCTGTATGTATTACGTTAATCTATGTATGGCGCTTTGCAAATTCATGATCATAATATCAGCCACAGAAGTGGGCTCAAAGTAATGTAACTGAAAATCGGTAGAAGCCAAATGTTGTAAATATTGAATCACCCCAATAATGCAACATAGATAGGTCATTGCAGCTAGATATATAAATAGATAGGAAAATACATCTCCTTCTTCTTGATTGGCGTAGACACCGCTTACGCGATTATAGCCGAGTTAACAACAGCGCGCCAGTCGTTTCTTCTTTCCGCTATGTGGCGCCAATTACATATTTCAAGTGAAGCCAGGTCCTTCTCCATTTGGTCCTTCCAACGGAGTGGAGGTCTTCTTCTTCCTCTGCTTCCCTCGGCGGGTACTGCGTCGAATATTTTCAGAGCTGGAGTTTTTTCGTCCATCCGGACAACATTACCTAGCCAGCGTAGTCGCTGTATTTTAATTCGCTGAACTATGTCAATGTCGTCGTATATCTCGTACAGCTCATCGTTCCATCGAATGCGATATTCGCCGTGGCCAACGCGCAAAGGACCATAAATCTTTCGCAGAACTTTTCTCTCGAAAACTCGCAACGTCGACTCATCTGTTGTTGACATCGTCCAAGCCTCTGCACCATATAGCAGGACGGGAATTATGAGTGACTTATAGAGTTTGGTTTTTGTCAGGAGAGGACTTTGCTTCTCAATTGCCTACTCAGTCCGAAGTAGCACCTGTTGGCAAGAGTTATCCTGCGTTGGATTCTGAGGCTGAAATTGTTGGTGGTGTTTACGCTGGTTCCAAGATAGACGAAATTATCTACAACTTCAAAGCTATGACTGTCAACAGTGACGTGAGTGCCAAGTTGCGAGTGCGACGACTGTTTTTTTGATGACAGGAGATATTTCGTCTTGCCCTCGTTCACTGCCAGATCCATTTGTGTTGCTTCCTTGTCCAGTCTGGAGAAAACAGAACTAACGGCGCGGGTGTTGAGGCCAATGATATCAATATCATCGGCATATGCCAGCAGTTGCACACTCTTATAGAAGATAGTACCTTCTCTATTTAGTTCTGCAGCTCGAACTATTTTCTCCAGAAGCAGGTTGAAAAAGTCGCACGATAAGGAATCGCCTTGTCTGAAACCTTGTTTGGCATCGAACGGCTCGGAGAGGTCCTTCCCGATTCTGACGGAGTTTTGGTGCTGCTCAACGTCAGGAAAATACATCATTTTAACATAATAATTTTGATGCCAACTATTTGTTTTAAATTAAACTATATTTGATATCAGATCTTTATTAGTGCTTTGCATATTTGAATTCAAATACTTTAATAAATATAGTATATATTTTATTTGTTATAACTTCAATATGTAATCATTAATTATTAGTTCTCTATTAATCGATGTCATTACATATGCAGCGTCTACCTGCTGTCATTGTATTACCTTTAAAATTTATCTCGCAGCGCTAACAAACCCTGCACTAATAATACGCGGTGAGTACCTTACACGCCGCAGATTTTGAAATATATGTACATATAAATTATGCGCGCATCAATGCAACCTTCAGTATTTTCGTGAAGTTCTTGTGCTACGCATGTCAGTCAAGCTTATAAATTTTACAAGTACATATGCTAAGTGCGTATCGATCCAACCTTTAGTCATTTCGCGAAGTTCTTGTACTGCGCATGTCAGTTAGTCTTCTGGTTTTGTTAAGGAATTATAGCCAAGTACGTACTGAAACTGAAAATAAGAAAAATATACAAATAAATACGCCGGAAATTTCTATAATATAAAAATTCCCGTCTTATGTCTTTCTCTCTCTATTTTCTTCCTGCGCGAAACAGAATGGAAGATTTTGAGCGTCGCCAACAGAGGGAACGTGAAAAACATAAACGTCAGCAAGTGCAAAGTGTCGGCCGAGAGTATGCCCTCTTTCCAGAACCGCGTAGAGTGAACCCGTCCGAGGTAGATGACGATATCACCGCCAAACTGGGCGATCATTCTAAAGCCATTGAATTTATGACTACGGAAGGAGTTGGTGTACAACCATCCTCCAACAATGCCTTGCTGGTTAGTCATTTACAATCAAGTGCCTCGTCCTCAACTGGCGGCAATAATATCGGTRACGTCTCTATGTCCACCAATTTATTGTCTTCGCATCGTTCGTTGGCTGGTTCACAGACTCTTCAGCAGACAACGCAACAAACTCATCATTACCAACAACCATTGCGTCAACAACCGTATCTGAAGCAGCCTGATAACAAGCTACCATATAACGGGCGGGGAAGTTATTCGGTTCAGTCGGCTAAAAATGATTTACGACCTAGCAGTGGAATGGCGCCACCAAAAGGTCCTCCACCTTTGTTACCACCACCGTCTGGAACTATAGGCGGCAATACTGGAAATAACAGCAGTTTAAATTCAACATCCTTGCTACCGCCACCATCGAATGGGTATTTGGGTCCTCCTAAATCAACACCGCCTCTACACAATGGACGGTTTCCTAAACCATTGCCGGTGAGTGCCACATTTGTTATAATTCTGATTTGAACAATTTTGAAATTTAATTATTTATTTTTTTAGAAGTCAATAAATGATATAATCTCCAAAGTGGATCAAACTTATCGCGCTCCTGAGCAAATTACTAAAATAGCCGCAACGCCCCGTACAAGTATCGCTGATTACAATCTGAATGGGCCTAATCGCCACAAATATTCAGTTGGGCCGGTACAACCTATTTTGGGCTCGCCACCTTCCGGAGTGGAATTATTACAGAGTGCGGTTCCAATGCCCATAACACCAATCTCAGCTCTACCCGCAACCCCTAATCCTCAGATCATATCAAACAGTTGTGGGATAACAACTATTAATAGCGGTATGCCAACAATAATGTCTGGTGCTATCCCATCGGCTGCTATTGGTACTACAGTGTTAAGTTCGCCGCTTGTGACGACAGCCGTTAGACAAGGATTGTTATTGTCTAAGGAGTCCTTAAAACCACTAATGGATCAAGTTGGACCAACTTTAGAAAAACAGAACTCAACGTAAGCATAGCATCTAGAAACGTAGAATAGAAAATTTTAAATTAATATTTTCTAGGTTGGAAAACGATTTGGAGCTTTCAGAATCAGATGATGATCGTCGAAAACAAAGGTAAACATAATGTTTAACAATTTTTATGATGTTTTGTTYTATATATTCTTATCCTAGTAACGAATTATTTTTCTTTTCATATATGCAGTCGTTCAGTTCATAACTCCAGTGATAGTTCACCCTCAGATTCTAGTGAGTCTGGTAGTGAAGAATCTTCAAAGAGTGAAAACCATCGATCGTCACTTACGTCGCTTCAGCAACAATCCTCAGCCCACAATCCAAAATCACTTACGCAAAATTCACTTCAGCAACAGCAACAACAGCAGCCACAACAAACGGCTCCATCAGTTGGGCGTACAGTTGCGAATAAACTCATAAATGATAAGTCAAAGATGATTGAACCTCTTAGTGGTAGCCGTTCAAATATTTATCTAAACAGTAATGCACTGGGTTCGGCGGGTTCTTCCAGTTCAGGACCGAGTTCTACGTCTTCATCATCCAATAAAACTCCTTCTCCGTCAGATTCGAGTAAATGGAATTTAAGTCGATATTTTAATAAAAAGCCTGCCTTAGCACAAAATGCCACTCCTCCACCAGCAAATTCGCTGGTTGTAAATTCAATTAATGTGAGCATGGATGAACCAACTCTTTTACCAGGTGGGGCCCAAATAATACCTGAAGCTACACAACCCCAACCTAATCCCACGATTGTGAAGCACGAAAATACCAACTTTGTAGTAGCGGTAAGCGTAATTACTGACCATACTTTTTGACCATTTTAAGTGTATTTTTTTTTTAACAGAAAAAGTTCTCCGCACGCAGTGACGATGATGATGAAGAGACTACTGGTCTTCGCAATTGCGATACACGTAGCTTGATGTCCAATTCAAGTGGAGCTAAAACACATATTAGTGGAGGTGTGCCTGCGTTTATAAATGAAATAAAGAAAGAAGCTGATGTGCTTTATCCAAGCTCATTGAAAGCTACTTCCTCTGGTACAACACAGGCACATGTTCATGTCTCATCTCAGCAACAACAAACGCAGGTACCTCTGTTAAATGCTGCAGAATTTGTTGCGATACCAACGAGCCAAATAAAACATGAAGTTCCTGGTTTAACAACAGTAACAACATCAACTGTTGCTCCAATGTCTTTGGCGGGTGGTACTACCACTGTCACTCCTTACAACACTTCTACCATTAGCGGGAATGGACATAGGCGCACTCCTTCCGCATCACCACATATGCGTAACAGTGTTTCGACGGGCTCGGTGAAGAGGCGTGTTGGCCAGTTATCAGCGCCATCCAGTGATGGTCATACATCGAACAGTAGTGATGATGAAGATGCGCTGACAACATCTACAAGGTCTACCGTACCAACATTGGGTCCAGGTGGCACGTTRAAAATACCTGGTGTACCCGCAGCTATTACAGCATTACCACCTTCAACGTCACAAACACTGGCATCAGCGCCCACAGTTCCAAACTCAATAACGGTCTTACCCATAAATCCTTTAACAAAGTCAGCACCTTTGCGTAAACGAAAGAAACCTCGGAATTCGGCAACCTGCATTACAACGCAATTGGACACTAGTGACGAAGAAGATATGACATCAGATTTTAAAAGTGGTGGTGTCACAGTAAGCCCAACTGAGCTGAGAGCAGTTACTGGCCCAGGAGGGAAACTGTACTCGGAACCAACGCCGGTAGTGCCTGCAAAGAAAGGACCAGGCCGGCCACGGAAAACTGCTGGCAGTGGAAGTGGAAAGAAAACCAATGCAACTCCGATTGCTATCGCTTCAAAAGGTCCCAAATTAACAGCTAGCAAGGATGTTAGTAGTGGTGCTTTGGTTGCTAAAAAGGCCACAACAAAAAGAAGAGCCTCTCGTCAAAATTCAAATTCGACTGGCATCATCCCGACGAAATCACATTCACAGAGTACACAACCGGCGGCACTAACAAGCGTTGATCCATCTTCGTCGGGCTCAACGTCGTATTCAACATCGAAATCYTCTAGTTCGTCTTCTTCGGAAACGGAATGTGAAGATGGAGTTATAAGCGGTTCATCATCCAGTGATGATAATAAAAATAAAATCGCAGGTGTTACAAAAACAAAACGCAATATATCGGCGCGACCAACAGCAGCAGCAGTAACCCCAGCGTCAACATGTTCAGTAGCAGCAAACGTATTGCCTGCTTCAACTAGTCGCATTATAGTTCAATTGAATAGACGTAAATCTTCACATGATGATGTCCCGCCAATAGCAATATCGTCAGTAAACACCGGTGGTTCGGCCAAAATGGCAAATAGTGGTAAGCGAAAGAGGTCAACGTCACATTTCACTCAGGCCGATGTGGAGGCTGATAGTGATGATGAATCATCAGATTCCGGATCTGGTTCGTACAGCAGTTCGGTCAGGAATTATAACGCAGGGGCAACGGCAGCTAGTTCCGTAACACATGGTGGCAATACGAGTGGTGGCAGTTCACATCGCTCTCAGAATATGCAATCGCCATATAAAGTCCCCATTCCAGCGGCTCCTATATCTAGTTCGACTTCTAGTTCAAGTAGCGTGTCATCGTCGTCATCGAGTAGCAGCAGTGGGGATGAACATTTTGATACAGAGCCTGCCGCATCTGTTAGTAATCGAGGCAAAAGTAGGCACAGTAAGACTAGTACCAAAGTTACTACTAATATCAGCAGCGGTTCTAATAGTTCGAGACTGCGTCGTGACAAGCCCAAAGCAAGCGATATTATTAAAAATGTTACGCTTACGCGTATTTTTAATCCAGAAGGGGGTGCCAAAAAGCAAGGTCAGGTGCTAGTCATCGACGAGCAGCAGCAACAAAAGTTGATATCTCCCAATGCCTCTGGATATAGAACTACAATGTCCGCCAGCTCAAAGTTATCTAATAGCCAAGAGAATCTCGTTACAACCGCCACAGTTGTTAATTCACAATCACCTAGGCTAACTCCCGGACATATAAAATCACCACGTGCTTTGCCTCAACTGGCAGCAGTTGGGTCGCATCGCACACCGGATCGTAGTAGTCGAAATAGTGCTGAACGGAAAGTGCAACAACAACGCATTAGAACGCCGTCTTGTACACCTACTCGCACACCGCCTACAACCAGAACGCCAACACCCACACCGGCATCATTACTGTCAGCACCAACAGCATCACCTATGAGAACAACAGCAACGTTGTTGCCTAATTTCCCATCCCTTATATGTAAAGTTGATTTATCTCGACTTAAACGCATTTTACCAGAGTGGCGTACAAATACTTATCGGCTTTCTAATACTACCATATCCCGTTGTGCCCAACACGAAGCGATATTAAATGCTGATTTGCAAGCAACATCAACGATAACTGGTAGTGGAAGTGGCAACAGAACACCTACAACTCCAAACTGTCCGACGGAGCGGGAACTATCGCATTCCAGGGAAAGTTTGGTTGGAATTGGTGTTAGCGGAAGCAAACAAAGACTGAACACAATGCATTCAAATAGCCGGTTAAGCAATCTTTCCACAGATGGTGGTGGCAGCGGTGGTACCACCCCCAAACAGCAGCCTCAACTTACACCAAATGGTTATAACTTAGTTACGAATGCATCAAATAGTTCACCCTCTACTAAGCAGTTATTAAAACATGAGCAATTAATCAAAAATGAACCAGGCTCGGAATTAGAGAGTGTATCCATGGCGTCACAACCTAAAGCTGACGCGTATTGCAGCGAAACTAAGTTTAAAACAAGCGGCTCAGTTAAACAAGAGCTTCTACTACTTAAGCAGGACTGCAAGCCTGGTTTAACTCCACAAATCGCTTTTGTATCCGCTGATAAGGAAGACGATCGGCCTGATGGGTCACCAACCTCACAGCAAATGCGCGTAAACGATATAACTGAGCCAAAATCACAACGGCGCAAACGTAGCGCCAGCTCGAGTCCATACAAAGACAAAAAGCGGAAAAAGGATAAAATGGACAAGTATTCTAAAGATGGTAAAGATATGAAGGAGGGGAAGGAAAGTGATGCCGGTAGTGGTCCATTATTAACGATACAAGATAAAGAAAAAGACGTTGGAAAATCGATAACTGCTTTGGGAGCTATTGAACGTGATATAGGAAGTAACGTTGGCAGTGGTCATGCTGGAATAAATGACACTTATCGACGTGCAATTGCTATAATTCCGCCACTTGGAATGAACAACAATGGGCAAATGGAGGTAATAGCACTGAATTTTCGCTGTGGAACTTTATTTAATTGTTGTTTTTTTTTTTTCTTTAGAAGGATCATCAAATGGAAAGTCGGCAATTAGCTCCTACCAACCACGATCGATTACTGGCGGTGCGACAAATGCAGCAACAGCAGCATCTTACTAATGTTGCGGCTTCGAATGGCTCACAAAATCTAGCGAACACCCAAACGGCAAGTAATAATTTAAATACAGCAACKACTGCAGATATTGCTGCTGGTAATATACTAGTGCCACCTGAAAATCTAAACGCTCCATTAGCACCACCACCGCAAGCAATATACCGATCATATTTTGAACGCGATGATGATGGACTCTGTGATGATATTGGGTAAGCTTTATATATATATATATATATATATGTGATTGTATT